CTTATGTATCCCATGATTGTGCAGTCAATGTTAGTCATTTTGGGCTTAAATGCCAGTCATAAAGAGTGAAAAGTGGCCTAGTTTTAGAACTCCTTCACAGCAGTGCATCTCAAATCAGTGGACTGTTTCTTCAGATAGTTCAATTTCTTCTTAACACAGAAGTCCTTTATAAATACTGAAAAAGCTGAAAGTTATAAAACTACCTAATAACACATAAATAGATGTTTTAGTAAGCCTTGAATATGCTTGGTCAGATGTTAAGCAGAGAAGGTCTTTGAGTGGCAAAATTTAAGTACAACTGTAAATTTTTTTCTGAATAGCAGCAAATCATAGGATCTGAGGTCACACACTGGGTTTGGGGTTTTTTTTTTGCAACACCCTAATCTTGTCCTTCTCTCCGCCAAGATCATTTTCTTTTTGAAAACTGACTTGAGACAAGCCTGCAGAAAAGCCTTTCTTATCTAAAGTTTAAAAAAAAACAAAACCCAACAAAATGCGCATACATTTAAAAAAAAAAAAACCCCAAACCACTAACAACAAAAAACCCAAAGCACTGAATTTCAGCTCTCAGAAGGCAGCTCTCAGGGTAGAGAGGACCTGCGTATAGTGCGAGGTGTATGACGTGAGGGATCTGTTCATTAGGATTGTCGTCAGCTGTCTAAAATAAGGAGCTGAGCAACACCAAGTTTGCAGTTCGAGTACAGAGTGAGGTGTCCTGCTACACTTCTCTGCTGCAGTGGCGTGATGCAACAAAAAGCCCCTGGGAGAATTTATACCAAACAGCATAAATACTCCACAAAGAGAAGAATCATTTAAGGGGTGATGGTGATTTAGAGAAAAAAAAAGAATACTAAAGGAAAAACAGTGAAAACTTCAGAAAGAATTCTGTAGGCACTGGGAGCTTTCTATAAATACAGACCTAACTGAAAACTAACTGAATAGTGTATGTGACAGAACTGTTTTAAAGTGAGTGATAGATAGCAACTATGTATAGATAATATAGGTATTGAATGTCTCTTATGTCTTTAAAACACAAATATTTTTAAAAATCAAGCTCCAGTTCTKCAAGTTAGATATAATGCTGTCCCCTCTATTCAGTCTTTTAAATTAAATTAATATTAAAATTGCAAATGAGGTGTTTGGTTTACCAGAACATCCTTACACTGCTCTGCTGCTGCTCTCTTGGGAGGAGTATTCTGATTGCATACCTTGTTGGTAAGTTTGCCCTTAAGCGGTGATTTCTTTTAAATTTTTTCCAGTATATGGAAATCAATATGAARCTAAATAGATTTGGCTTTCATTTTCATGCTTAATAATCATATGTATTTTTGTTATTATAAATACACAGAAGTTAACAAAAACCAACCCCCCACAAACTATAGCAAACAGGATGTGACTTTTTCCTCTCTAAATGACCTACAGATATTCTTCTTGATGTTCTGGAGGAACACAAATGCAAAAATCTGAAAAAAACCCCAAACAACCAAATTCAAAAGCTAGATAATTTTATCTTGGCTTGTAAGCATTAAAAAYGGGTTAATGTCTAACTCTGTATAGGTATATTTTTTTTTATTATTGTTTTTAGAACTGATAATAAGTTTTGTTTTGAAAGAATAATCACAGAATAGGAAGAGGCACCACAGGACATCATCTGGTCCCACCGTCCTGCTCAAGGAGGGTYMTCCCRGWGCACAAGGCACAGSATTGCATYCCRRTGGTCCTTGAATATCTCCAGTGAGGGAGACTCCAAAACCTCTCTGGGCAATCTGTGCCAGTGCTTGGTCACCTGCACAGTGAAGAATTTCTYCCTTATTTCAGATGGAACTTCCTGTGCATCAGTTTCTGYCTGTTGCCTCTTGTACCATTGCTGGGCACCACTGAGCAGAGCCTGGTCCATCCTCTGATACCTCCATTCAGAGACTCGTAGATATTGATTAGGTCCATTTTCAGGGTGAACATGCCCAGCTCCSTCAGCCTGTGCTCACGAGAGATTATGGCACAGAGTTTTGTCTTTGCTAGAAACCCAGAAGTAAAAAGGAATCATAGTGATCTCACCTGGCTGTATTTTTTATGAGGTTTTTCCAGTCGTGTGCATTCCAAACAAAAATCACCTCAAAAAACATTAGCACTCTTCCCTCATCTTAATTACTATTAGTCCCTTTTGACACAAGTGACTCCACTTGCTGGGCAGTTTGAAGCATGTAAGAAAATTTGTCTTTTGGGAGGAAAAAAGCCTTGAAGTGTGAAAGTATYCCTACTGTGTCTTACCTTATTTATTAGTTCTGGAGAAGAGGAGGTCAGAGCACAGCCACCTCTGCTTTCCAGGGGCGTACTTTAACACTCAGCTTGCAGAAAGCAGCTCAGGCTCAAAAATTGATTTGAAGTATAAATCAAATTTAATGGTATGGCTCATAAAATCCATTCCCAGGGAGCACTGCCCTTGCATAAAACCAGCAGAGAAACATGTAATTTTTATTTTTTTTTAAATAATTTGTGTCTGACACATTCCTTGGAATATTTACATTCTCAAATTCAAACTTGAAAACTGAGCATAATTTTAAGCAGCAGTCATGCTGTATTTTAAATTCAGTCTCATTCTGCTGCCTTTTTCTCCTTTATCTGTGATTATTTATCATCTTCGGTAAATTTGGAGGAGAAACTCATATTGTATCTGTTAGAAATCAGAATAAAATGTATCAGGCATTTTTCACCACTATTTGCTAGAAGCAYTCAAACAACAATGAGGTGATAAGGGAAAATGTTTTCTTTTCAATGTAAAACAAAAAACCAAAACCCCAACTAAACCCCACAAGGACTGGAGCAGTGGTTATTAATGGGTAACAGAAAAGCTTTCTCATTTAATCAGGTATCTGGCATTCACAGCAGCTGTCACTAAGTCCTAATGAAGAAAATGTCCCTTCATTAGATAAAAAAATCACATTTATTTTACTGATATGCCTATGATTCATTAGCAGGAAAACGGAAATTTCTGAAGAATTCTGTATCATTCCTTTATTATTTGCTGAGACTTACTGTCATAGTTTGTTATTATGGAAATTAGGCGGGTCGAACTAGATGATCTTCCAATCCAAACCATTCTATGATTCTGTGGACTTAATTCATAACCTAGCAATGACAGGCAGTAACTGAAACCTATTAGCCTATGAAGTATCTACTACCAGTCAGATATTTACTAATTACAACCTAAATGACAAGTCAAATGGCAGTCAAAAACCTACATTTTCCAACTCTAAAGACAAATATCAGATAAGAGTTTCTTTTCAGGTAGCAAACTTCTCTATTTAGCAATTATTTTAACCTGCTGTTGATAGTGTTTAAGTAGTTACACAGGCAGCTATGATCTGCTAATGGATATGTTTCCAGGTAATATTTGTAGATGCAACTTGACTGTGAAGGCATCTGAAATTACAGACTACCCATCTTTCTTGGGAGCTCATTATGTATAAGATGTAATCTCCCTCACTTTGCTTTCAAGTACATGGAAGCAGCTATGCTGAGAATACAGAGGCTGCTGCTAAATCACTGTATTGCTGATGACAATGTGGTGTCAAATACCATTTGCCGTCTAACTGGAGGGACTTTGCCTTATGTGATCACTTGCTAAATCCCMCAGTTATTTTCCAAAGCACTCTGGTAATGAGGCAGAACAGTGTTTTCAGCCTGATACAGGTCGAGACATTCACAGTTTAGAGACCTACTTAGAAAGGCACAATCAGAAATGGGTATTGTCAACTGTAAACACRAGGGGACTGCATTAAACAGGGTGCCAGACTGTCACTTTTTACCACACCAAACAGCACATCTAGCTTCTCACCCAGATCAGCACAAAAACTGGTTGGAGGCAATTTCAGTCTGAAATTATAGGGGAGAATAAGAGCAAAACTTGAAAGAAATAATGCYGCTTTAATTTGGTTGTAAGCTTGGAATTCTGATCTTGATTTTTAGAGGAATTTTACTCTGAACTTTTTGTGCCTAAATGTGTGCCTAAAATGATTTTGATCCATAAACTTTCAAAGGCATTGTAAGAAGGAGAATTTAAAATGAAGGCTTTTGTATGCAATATATCCTTTGCAGGGTCAATTATTTTACTGTATTATTACATCCAAAAATAAGGGACATAGGGTGAATATTATCACTTGAAATGTTGGAAAGAACTTAATCTCTCATTTGAAAATGTCAGCTTTTTTTTTTAATATGCCGTTTTCCTGCTGCAGTGTAATAGGCTGAGAATTATGGTGAATCAAAAAATGAAAATACTCTAATGTAATGGTATTTCAGCCTAATGAAGAGTCCTTTAGTTTCTGTGATGATGGAAACACAAAGAGAAACCTGCAAGGGTAGTTCATGAGCCCTGCAAGTTACAGCGGGCAGCATTTTACCCATTCCAGTCACCTTGCAGTTCGTCCCACTTCATCTGCTCCTGCAGCTCTACACGTTTAACTGTGGCTATTTCTGAGAGTTGTGCTGTCAGAAACTATGGCTTGCTAACCATCTGCTGCTTTGAGATGACTCACATAACGTTTTGTGCTGATGTTATGTGTTGATGATGTAACACTGTCACATGAGGATGTGTGACTGTCAATGCTATTACTGATATTTTACACACCAGCTTAAAACATTGTTGGTATGAGTATATTGACACCACAYAACCTAGGCTATGTCCAGCATATATATTATTCTCATTTATCAGAACAACAAAGCATTCCCCTGCTGACAGTCTTGCTGGCCAATACTTGTGATTACTGTGATTTTAATATACAGTAAGTGATAAAATAATTTCAARTGGCTAAGTCTCAGGAGGAAAAACATTCCAAATCCCCCATTTTCCTGGATTGGAAGGGACCTTAAAGATAATTTTGTTCCAAATCCCCCACTGAAGGCAGGGACATGTTCCACTAGACCAGGTTACTCAAAGCAGAAATAAGAAATACAAGCTATGCAGAATATCCATTTCAATTTGTCMATTGCTTAATTAACAGGAGGAGGATCAGTCAAGTTTTTCTGGTTATGAGAGCACAGGAGGTGAGTTTCTTTTTCAGTGTCAATTGCCATTTAATTTTRAAACCTTTAATTTCTTGTTATTTAAATAGTTACTTAGAAAGTAAAGTGAATTCGGGTTATTCGTATTGTGAACTTTATGTCTCAAAGAATTTTTATCATGTGAGCTCTCTTTGAATGCAAATTAAAGTTTGTAAAAGACATTTCTATGCCCTTTAGGCCAGTGGATACAAAAAAAAATTAGAAAACACTGCTGTTAATCAGCATCAAATCTCATAGGTGTTTTCAGAAATTGGCAGTTATGAAAATCTCCTTGGAAAGTATGAGGTGCCAAGAGTCTAAGAGGAATGAAAAGATAAACTTTACATGGCTATTTTTTTTTTTTTTTTAATAAGAGCTCTACGTACCACAAAATAAACCCCAAAATTTTATGAGGTAAATKAAGGTGTCTTGTGATTAACTCAAAGACATAATAAAATTTCAGCAGGCTTACATGGGCCGAGATCACCTTTTGTACCGGTACAATCAGTGTAAGGGCTGGGACTCAGACCAGAAGTAATTACTTCTTCAAAAGATACCATTTCAGTGAGGCAAAGCTGTAATAYRTACYGTAGTTTTGGTGAGAGTATTGCCTGGATTTCAGTTAAGATGGTTATTATTTGGCTGAATTTGAGACTCAGAGGAATTTAGAACTACATTTTAGAGAGTATAAAACTCTAAATGGGAAGKAGACAAGCCTCTATAGCAATTATAATGTAAGAACATACTTGGTGAAAACTGCAATKGCTGAGGAGGCATTACATCAAATTAATACTTCAAGATGAATCTGCTTCTCTCTTTTTTCCTCTTTTTATATAAAGTGATGTGTATTRCAAGGCCTATTTTCAGGTAAAATGTCTTTATCTTATTTGCAATGACAACTAYGAAACTGAGACATTAATAGGCTTGTGTACAATAGCTCCTTCTGGAATGGAGAGCATTATAGCAGAATGTAAATCTAGTAACATCAGATCCCCTTGCACGAGTGTTATACAGTTTTGTGTGGTAAGTAGCTGACATAAAAATTAGTAGCTCTTGCCACTAAAGAATTTTTATTTTCTTTTTAGACTTTTCAGAAGATCTGAGGAAATCAAACATCATTTTTGTTGTTGGTAAGTAGGATTCCTAATTTAACTGCTACATTTGAATATTCCCATGTTATTTAGCTTTGATTATAAGATTGCTTTATTTAGCAAAATAGATTGGTTGTGAATATTTACTCTACAATGGTGGTTTCGTTTTTTGAAAGGGATGTAATTAGCTTGGATCTGACCAGACTATCAACAGTTGAGTAAAGCTCAGAGCAGGCAGCTTGTCTGACTGTGAACATGTTCAAAATAACCTTAGTCCTTTACCAACAGTCCAGTTGCGACCTCTCACACCAACACTGCCTCACCAGCATTAATTAAAATGTTACTCAAGTGGATTATAACTCAGAAGTTTGAGATTAGGCTGAAAAATATCAGATCTCTTCCCCTCCTTATTTGTGAAGTAACTTTTGTTAAATACAGGTTTCAATTCTGCATGTGCTCAGCATGGGCAGCTCACCAGGCATGATGCTTAGCRCAGAAGCTTTGCAGGTTCAGGATTTACTTTATATTGCTTTTGGAAATCCACAGAGTAAAAGCACCATGTTAATGCCCTTCATCACATGAATGTGAGTAATATAATTAGCATAAATTTTGAGCAGTCTTCTAAAATGAATTAGAAGCAGAAGATTGATCTTAAAGCTTGGCACTAATTACTCRGAAAGAATAATTGCTTTTGTATTGAGCAGTTTTTAGAGCTGCTTTACTATACAAAGCAGGAACACACATTTCCAATAGATAGATAGATACCAGAAAATGGGTGATTTTACATAAAACTAAATAAATTTGTGCATTGT